AGTAGGACCAGCGTAGGGAGAAGGAGCAGGCAGAGGGGAGGCAGGCTGTAGCTGTGACTGTGACGGGACAGGCTGTGGACACTTTAAGGGAGGAGGAGGACCAGTAGAAGGAGGAAGACCAAGAACCTGCTGCAGGAGTGGAACAAAGTACGGTCGAGGCCGCGTTTACGACGCCAGAAGCAGCAGGGACAGCACCAGTACCCTCAGCAGGAGCACCCGCTCCAACAGCACCTCCAGCAGCACTAGGAGCACCCCAAGTAGGACCGCCAGCGGTAGTCTCAACGCCAACACCCTCAGCAGCACCAGCTCCAGTACTCCCAGTACGAGCACCTCCGAGACTCGCGACCGCAGCACCCTCAGCAGCCGAAGAACCTCCAGCACCAGCAGTACGGCGCCAACGCCGGGCAAACCACTCGCGCAGCTCCTGTGGAGAGAGTGGCTCCCGGCGAGAAGAATCACCCGGAGAACCTCCAGGCAGAGCACCTCCACTCTCAGCACCCCCAGGCGTAGCACCTCCAGGCTCAGCACCCCCAGGCGTAGCACCTCCATGCTCAGAACCCCCAGGCGTAGCACCCCCAAGCTCAGCACCCCCAGGCTCAGCACCCCCATGCTCAGCACCCCCAGACGCAGTACCCACAGGCTCAGCACCCCCAGACTCCGCACCCCCAGGTCCAGCACCCCCAGGCTCAGCACCCCCAGCAGCACCAGAGTCACCAGTGACCTCGACAGGCTCGACTGCGTCTACCTGGGACACACTTGAAGGGGCAGGACCCTGAGGGGGGAGGGGGTCTACCTGGGGGGGACCTGGTACAAGGAAGAGCGGGGGTGGGGGGAGGGACGGAGTGCGGTAGGGGAAGAGGCGGTAGTAGGGGACTGACTCGTCAAACGTGATGTCCTGGGAGGACAGAACACGTTGAGAGGTGGGGTGGCAGAACTGCCACCCTGGTGCGTCAGGGGGGAAGCCAAGGAAGACACAAGGAGCAGCACGAGGGGACAGCTTGTCCGCAGACAAGTCGCGGACAAACGCCCGAGATCCCCAGACACGGAACGCAGACGCATCGCCTACCTTCCCCGTCCACAGCAGATCTGGGGAGGTCTCCGGCATGGAGACCCTGGGGTGAAGGTTGATCTGATGCGCCGCGTACCAAACCGCAAACGGCCACAGAAAATGGGGGGCAATCGCATGCATCATAGACGTACGAGCGACGTCCATGACCATGCCAATGCGGCGCTCAGCAATCCCATTTTGCTGCGGTGAGTCCGGAAGCGTGAAGGTCTGACGGATGCCTCGTGCGCGACAGTAGGCTTGCAGTAGGCCATAGGAAAACTCTCCGCCTCTGTCCGAGTGCAGACGCAGAACAGGGAAGTCCGAGCCAAAGCTCCGCCTGAGCTGGAGACGAGCCGCGCGGATCCAGTCGATCAGCACCTCAGTGACATCACCCTTGCTGCGCAAGGGGAAGACCGTGGTGTAACGCGAGTAGTCGTCAACAACGAGCAGGAAGTAGTGCTCGTGACCCTGTCCACGGACGCAGGCTGGGCCCCACACGTCCATGTGAAGCGTCTGCAACGGGGCCTCTGTCGGAGGAAACTGGGAGGAGTGAGGGGCAGCCCGCTGGCGCCCCTCGACACAGGGGACACAGGCAGGGCCAGGGCCCTGAGGAAGGGGAGGGAGGGACCGGGGGAGACCAGACACAAGAAGACGGGAGGCCATGCCTCTGAGCCAAAGCAGAGAGGGGTGACCAAGACGGTGGTGCCAGAGGAGAGTCTCGTGAGACAAGAGACGACACGAACAGGGGGCAGACTCAGGACCAGACCTGGACGCTGCAGCAAACACCTGACCGGACGAAGCGACTCTACAAGACTCAGTAACGGGAGGAGACGCAGTGGTCAGTGTGTACAGGCTCGACCCCGGTTGACGGGTAAACGTAGCCAGGTGCCGGCCTGTGCTAGCCTCTATACAGTGCGTCACCCGCTGACGCGCAGGAGTGAACTGGTGTACTCCCCCATCCTCTAGGTCAGCACCACTCACCAGGTTCGTCGAGAACGAGGGGAGGTAGAGACCAGACAGGGCGCCAGAGGGAGCCGCCGGACACGGGAGGACTGTGGAGAAGTGAGACAGTACGGGACCCCTGGAGGGGTCAGCCAGACACACCGCAACCGGCCGACTAAGCGGCGTGAGTGTGGTGCGGTCCCGAAAGAAGGAGCGAGACGCTCCAGAGTCAAGAGTGAAGGTGAGGGAGGCCGAAGCCAACGTAGTACCTGAGAGCGCAGACTCACCAGTACCTGAGGACGCAGACACACTAGCACCTAGAGCAGCAGCGTCGCAAGCACCTAGGGCAGCAGCCTCAATGCCCGGATCGGGCGGGAAACAGCGGTAGCAGTCACCCTCATCACTATGAGACACAGCATACATGGCAGAGATAATAGCATCAAAGTCAATATCAAAGATGGCAACCCCCGCCCTAGACAGCTCGTCCCAGCGAGGGATCTCGGAGGCCTCCGGAAACTGGTGACGCCACACGTCCGTCAGGTCGCCAAAGCAGCGCGGAGTGGGGTGCGCACCCCCACACTGCTCACCCGCACGGTCGCCGGTGCGCAGGACGTAGGTGCACGGACCAAAACCCCCACCCCGCTGGCGTGCAGTGTACCACTCACGGAGCTGCTGAGGGGTCAGGGTCGCACGACCACGCTGCTGCTGCTGGCGCGAGCCACCACCTGAGCCACTCCTCTACGAAGACCCGCGACCAGCTCCACCGCCACCCCCACCGCCTCCACCGCCTCCGCTGCCTCCACTGCCGCCGCCGCCTCCACCGCCGCCTCCACCGCCGCCTCCTCCGCCACCTCCGCTACCACCGCCACCGCCGCCGCCGCCTCCGCCTCCACTGCCGCCACCGACCCACCCACCCCCACCTCCACCTCCACCGCCACCCCCACCCCCCCCCACTGCCTCCACCTCCACCTCCACCGCCCGCTCCTCCAGCTCCCTTGCCCCCCTTGCCCTTGCCAGAGCGGCGTCTCCCGCTAGGGGCAGACGCCGCACCGACCGACTCAAGACCAAGGAGGTCGGCCGCAGCAGCAAAGGCAACAGAGGGCAGCAGGGGGGAGGGAGAACACCCCTCAAAGATGGGGGTGCGCGGGTCACCTCGAGAGGCTCCTACAGTGACAACGCTCTTCTCTATCGCGAGGAGGGCCTTCTCGAGGAGGTCTACAGTGAGTGTGGTGGGACAGACTGAGAGAAAGTGGTCCCTGACTACTCGAAGGGAGTCAGGGAGGCGAGTGACTAGGAAGTACACAGTGATGTACATAGGGGGGGGGGTTCGTGGTGCAGAAGTCAGTAGGAAGTGCAGCGAGGTAGCGAGTGTCACTAGTGCGGAGGTGCGTAATGAGGTCAGCAACGGTGGGAAAGGCAGCAAGGTCAGGGAAGAGGTACGGTAGCATGAGACGGCTGAGTGCAACAGTGGAAGGGGAGGAGTAGCGCGCGACTACAGCGTCATACAAGGTATGAGCACTCTTGTTCTGACTAAAGTGCGCACGCTCGGAGGTAGGGAGGTGACGACGCACAGCAAGACGTGCAGCAGCGTCGCCCGTAGCCCACTGGGAGCGAACAGTGGCGTCAGCATCAGCAGCAGGGGCAGGGGAAGCGCCAGAGGTAAGGTCAAAGAGAGAGAGGCCGTCTGCCCTATCGCACTGTAAGAACAGCTGCAGGTCGTCTACCCAGACCTCAAAGTCAATGGCCCGACCCTCAGCGTCAAAAGCGAGGACACTAGGGGTAGCCATGACGACAGTAGCCTAGCAGTGCAAGCAGTAGGGGAAGGGCACGCAGTGACAGTGGGGCTGCGCTCACCGGACAGGGCAGGTCGGGCGGCTCGGCTGCTGGGCGGCTCGGCGGCTGGGCGGCTCGGCGGCTCAGTGCTCGGCAGCTGGGTGGCTCGGCTGCACAGCGGCTCGGCGGCTCGGCTGCTGGGCGGCTCGGCTGGTGGGCGGCCGGGCGGCTCCTCTGGTACTCGGCAGCGCAGCGGTCGGCTGCAGGAAAGGAGAGTGGCAGGGCCGCAGCAGAAGGGCGGCGGGGCCGCTAAAGCAGGGCGGCGGGGCCGCGAAGTGTAGGGCGGCGGGGCCGAGAAATTCAGGGCGGCGGGGCCGCGAGGTGTAGGGCGGCGGGGCCGCGAGGTGTAAGGCGGCGGGGCCGCTAAAGCAGGGCGGCGGGGTCGCGAAGTGTAGGGCGGCGGGGCTGCTAAAGCAGGGCGGCGGGGCCGGTAAAGCCTGGCGGCGGGGCCGCGAGGTGTAGGGCGGCGGGGCTGCGAAATGCAGGGCAGCAGGGCCGCTAGGAATAGAGGGCGGCGGGGCCGCGAGGCGTAGGGCGGCGGGGCCGCTAAAGCAGGGCGGCGGGGCCGCGAGGTGTAGGGCGGCGGGGCCGCTAAAGCAGGGCGGCGGGGCCGGTAAAGCAGGGCGGCGAGGCCGCGAGGTGTAGGGCGGCGGGGCCGCTAAAGTAGGGCGGCGGGGCCGCTAAAGCAGGGCGGCGGGGCCGGTAAAGCAGGGCGGCGGGGCCGCGAGGTGTAGGGCGGCGGGGCAGCGAAATGCAGGGCGGCGGGGCCGCGAGGTGTAGAGGGCGACGGGGCCGCGAGGCGTAGGGCGGCGGGGCCGCTAAAGCAGGGCGGCGGGGCGGCGACAGTAGGGCGGCAGGGCCGCTAGGGGAGGGAAGGCCGCTAGGGCGGCTCGTCGAGTTAGCAGCCCGAGGCGCGACTCGGGATGAGCGCGCTTCGGGCAGTAAAAAAAAAAATCGAAGTGGTGGGCCCTAGGCGCAGTTCCCACAGGGGAACCTGCTCGATACCATGAGAAAAGTTGAACGAGAATGAATGAACTATGAATGAAGCGAGTACAAATATGAAACCCTAGTTGTGTTGTACCCCCTATGGGATACCCCACTGTAGCCTACACAATAGCATAAGCTATAATGTTCTGACAAAGCAGAAGCCTCACCAGCACCTATAGCAGCAGTACCAATGCCCGGGTCGGGCGGGAAACACTGGTAACAGTCACCCTCATCTCTAATAGTCACAACATACATGGCAGCAAGGATAGCATCAAAGTCAAGATCATAGATAGCTACGCCTGCCCTAGAAAGCTCTCCCCAGCGGGGGATCTCACTGGCCTCTAGGAACTGCTGACGCCAAGCGTCCGTCAGGCGGCCAAAGCAGCGCTGGGTGGGGTGGGCACCCCCACACTGCTCACCCGCGCGGTCGCCGGAGCGAAGGACGTAGGTGCACAGACAAAAACCCCCACCACGCTGACGCTGCGCGTACCAATCACGGAGCTGCTGAGGGGGGGGAATGTCCCGAGAACGCTGCTGCTGCTGCTGCTGCTGCTGCTGGCGCTGACCACCACCAGGGCTGCTCCGCTGCGAAGCGCCACCCCGACCACCTCCACCTCCTCCACCACCGCCTCCTCCACCTCCGCCACCACCGCCGCCTCCGCTAGCACCGCCGCCGCCTCCGCCGCCTCCTCCTCCACTGCTGCCACCGACACCTCCACCCCCGCCACCACTCCCACCGCCACCCCCACTCCCTCCGCCGCCTCCACCGCCACCTCCACCGCCCCCGCTAGCTCCACCCGCGCCCTTGCCCCCCTTGCCCTTGCCAGAGCGGCGTCTCCCGCTAGGGGCAGACGCCACACCGACCGACTCAAGACCAACGAGGTCGGCCGCAGCGGCAGAGGCGACAGAGGGCAACAGGGGGGAAGGAGAACACCCCTCAAAGATGGGGGTGCGAGGGTCACCACGAGAGGCTCCTACAGCGACTATGCTCTTCTCCGCTGCTAGGGGGGCCTTCTCTAAGAGGTCAACAGTGAGAGTGGTGGGACAGACTGAGAGGATGTGGTCCCTGACTACACGAAGGGAGTCAGGGAGGCGGGTGACTATATAATTGAGAGTGATGTATATGGGGGGGGGGGGGGGGGGGTTCTTGGCGCAGAACTCAGAAGGAAGCGCGGCGCGGTAGCGAGTGTCACTAGTGCGGAGGTGCGTAATGAGGTCAGCGTGAGAAAATGAGAACGAGAATGAATGAACTATGAAACAGTTGGGTACAAGTACTAACCCTAATTGGGTTTTACCCCATATGGGCTACCCCACTACAGCCTACACAAAAGCATAAGCTATAATGTTCAGACACACCCCCATAGGCAAAGTGGGGGAGAACAAGCGGTCACAAGACCAGTCAAGCAAAGCAAGCTCAGGGTGGATCACAAAGTCACCACACATTCCGAGCACAAGTTCAAGGCCACAAGGCCTGTTCACATGCATGAGTACATATATATAGAAAGCTAGACAAGCAAGAGCAGGTGTATATATATATAACAGTACAAGTAAGGTCAAGAGGTGAGCAAGTGAGGCAAGACAGGCACAAGACCAAGCTGAGTGCAGAAGCGCTGATGATCACAAGGCGCAAGTGCCTTGGTGAAGATATCAGCAGTGTTGGCCTCAGAGGCCATGTACGCAAGACGCAACTGACCACGCTACTGCAGCTCACGAGCAAGGAAGTAGCGAAGAGCAATGTGCTTCGTTCTGTGCTCCAGTCTCTGCTCTCGACACAAGGCCAGCATGGCCTTGTTGTCTACGTACAGCACTGGAGGAGAACGAGGCGGCTCTCCGAGGTCAATCAGCAGGTAGGTGAGCCAGCGAAGCTCCTGTGCAGCCATGGCCCCGGCGTAGATCTCAGCCTCACAACTGGAGCCGAGAACAGAAGACGAGCGGGTAGCCCGCCACGAAACAGAGCCGGAACCAAGGCTGAAGGTGTAACCCTGTGACGACCGCTGCGTAGCCTCGACCTCTGCCCAAGAAGCGTCCGCGTGCCCAGTGAGGACCACTGGACTCCGCCCTCCAAGCACTAGCCCCATGCCCGACGTACTGCACAAGTAGCGCAACACCCTCTTCGCTGCAGCCATGTGCTCTGGTCGGTGTCTCCCAGGAGCAACATAGCGTGCAAGAATGCTAAGAGGGTATGCAAGGTCAGGTCGTGTGCATGAGGCATCAGGTACATGAGGCAGCCAGCAGGCTCTGGGTACGGGCCACTCGGCTCTACGGACTCATCTGAAGGCAGAGCTGAGAGCGAGTGGCGAGTAGACAGAGGAGTGGCCTGAGGCGAGGAGTACGTGAAGCCGAAGCGCTGAAGGACCTGCTGCACCATGTGTGACTGAGTCAGGGTAATGGTGCGGCGTGCTCTGTCCCGGGTGATCTGCGAGCCAAGGTAGCTGCGCAGTTCACCCAGGTCTGTGCACGTGTGTCTCTTCTGCAGCTCCGACTTCACGTGGGCGAGTCCAGCAGTGTCAGCTGTGGCAAAGACCAAGTCGTCGACGTACACGAGGATGTAGAACGGCGGCAGAGAGGTGTCGGTGCGTAGAAACAGCGACAGGTCAGCAGTAGAGGGAGCAAACCCAAGAGCCGCAAGTGTAGTCCTCAGTGTGTCGTGCCACTCGCGCGGTGCCTGGCGGAGACCGTAGACTGGCCGTCGGAGGCTCCAGTGGGTGCCAGGAGGGAAAGTCCCAGTCAAGCCAGGTGGACGGCGCAACCAGATCTCCTCGTGCAGGCTACCCTGCAGGAAAGCAGTGCTGAAGTCAAGGGAGTGAAGCTCGTAGTCACGCTGAGCGGCTACATGTAGCAGCACCCGAAGAGTGGTCATCTTCGGGGTGGGAGAGGTCTGAAAGTAGTCGACTCCCTGCCGCTGACTGAAGCCACGAGCCACGTACCGCGCCTTGAAGACAGGTGGAGAGCCCGGCGGCCGCTTCACCCTGAAGATCCACATGCCACTGACAATGTTCGCCCCAGGAGGGGGAACTGCGTCAACGTAGGTGCCTGTGGACTTCCAGGAAGCCATCTCTGCATCCATAGCTGCCTGCCACTGAGAGGAGTAGGGACCCTCTACGGCCTCCGCGTAAGAGCGCGGAGTCGGGATGTCTAGTGCATCCGGGTCTCCCTCAGGGGTAAGCAGTACGGACGTGAGATGAGGTGAAGCAGCAGCCAGACACTGGAACTCCTCCTGCCTGTCCTCAACGACGTTCGTGCCAAGAGCACACTCACCCCCGACGGACGGAGGACAGACAGACGCAGACTCAGCAACAAGACTAGCAGCGTAGTCTAGACGACAGCGAGCAGCAAAGTCGACGAGCTCAGCAACAAGAGCAGACGCAGCAGTGGACTCAAAGGAGGGGTCAGTGAAGACAGTAGCAAGGAGACGCGTGACAGTAGGACAGGCAGCACGAAGAGAGTCCGACTCAGGGTCGGCAAGTACAGGAAGAGAGGACTCAGGAGGAGAAGGCAAAGGGGCACGAAGAGGAGCCGTGGACGGACGCAGAGACATCCGGTGCGTGCCAGGGACAGGAGGAGGACGCTGACGTGAACTGCGACCACTAGTGCGAGCAGCACGAACAGGCGACGCAGGACGAGACGCAGGCTCACGACGCTCAGCAAGACCTCCAGTAGGACCAGTGTACGGAGAAGGAGAAGGCAGTGGGGAGACCGGTGGTAACTGTGACTGCGAATCGACAGGCGGTCGAAGACCAAGAACCTACTGAAGGAGCGGAACAAAGTACGGCCGAGGCCGCGCGGCGACTCCAGGCACAGCAGGGACAGCACCAGCACCCCCAGCGGTAGTACTAGCGTCAACAGCACCTCCAGCTCCAGTACCTCCAGCAGCACCTCTAGCACCCACAGCAGGACCGCCGCCAGGACTGACAGCAGTGGCCTCCGCGCCAACACCCTCAGCAGCTCCGACTCCAGTAGCACTCGCAGGACTAGAACCTCCGAGACCTGCGGCACCAGCACCCTCAGCAGCCGAAGAAGCACCAGCTCCAGTAGTACGCCTCCAGCGCCGGGCAAACCACTCGCGCAGCTCCTGTGGAGAGAGTGGCTCCCGCCGAGACGAAGCACCCGGAGAACCAACAGGCCCAGCACCGTCAGACGCCACACGAGCAGGTCCACCGGCCGCGGGCTCCGCACCCCCAGGCTCAGTAGCTCCACACTCAGCACCCCCAGGCGAAGGACCCCCAGGCTCAGCACCCCCAGTCGTAGCACCCCCAGGCTCAGCACCCCAAGTCGTAGCACCCCCAGGCTCAGCACCCCCAGGCTCAGCACCCCCAGTCGCAGCATCCCCAGACGCAGCACCTACAGGCTCAGCACCCACGCGCGCAGCACCCCTAGAGTCACCACCCCCAAGCTCAGCACCCGCAGCTCTACCAGAGTCACCAGCAACCTTGACCGGCTCAACTGCATCTACCTGGGACATACCTGAAGGGGCAGGAACCTGAGGGGGGAGGGGGTCTACCGGGGGGGGACCTGGCACAAGGAAGTGCAGTGGCGGGGGGAGGGAAGAGGCGGTAATAGGGTACTGACTCGTTGAACGTGACGTCCTTGGAGGACAGAACACGACGAGAGGTGGGGTGGTAGAACTGCCACCCAGGGGCGTCAGGGGGGAAGCCAAGGAAGACACAGGGAGCAGCACGAGGGGACAGCTTGTCCGCAGACAAGTCGCGGACAAACGCCCCAGATCCCCAGACACGGAACGTAGACGCATCGCCGACCTTCCCCGTCCACAGCAAGGCTGGGGAGGTCTCCGGTCTGGAGACCCTGGGGTGAAGGTTGATCTGATGCGCCGCGTACCGAACCGCAAACGGCCACAGAAAATGGGGGGCAGCCGCATGCATCATGGACGTACGAGCGACGTCCATGACCATGCCAATGCGGCGCTCAGCAATCCCATTTTGCTGTGGAGATTCCGGAAGCGTGAAGGTCTGGCGGATGCCTCGCGCACGACAGTAGGCTCGCAGAAGGCCAGAGGAGAACTCTCCGCCTCGGTAAGAGTGCAGACGCAGAACAGGAAAGTCCGAGCCGAAGCTCCTCCTGAGCTGGAGACGAGCTGCGCGGATTCAGTCGATCAACACCTCAGCGACATCACCCTTGCTGCGCAAGGGGAAGACTGTGGTGTGACGCGAGTAGTCGTCAACCACCAGCAGGAAGTAGCGCTCGTGACCCTGTCCACGGACGCGGGCCGGGCCCCACACGTCCATGTGAAGCGTCTGCAGCGGGGCCTCTGTCGGGGGAAACTGAGAGGAGTGAGGGGCAGCTCGGAGACGCCCCTCGACACAGGGGACACAGGAAGGACCAGGCCCCGGAGGAAGGGAAGGGAGGGACCGGGGAAGACCAGAGACAAGGACACGGGAAGCCATGCCTCGGAGACGAGGCAGGGAGGGGTGACCAAGACGGTGGTGCTAGAGGAGAGTCTCGTGAGACAAGAGGCGACATGAGCAGGGGGCAGACTCAGGACCAGACCTGGACGCTGCAGCAAACACCTGACCCGACAAAGCTACCTGACCAGACTCAGCAGCCGGAGGAGACTCAGTGTTCAGTGTGTACAGGCTCGACCCCAGCCGACGTGTAAACGTGGCCAGGTGTCGGCCTGTCCGAGCGTCCGTGCAGTGGGTCACCCGCTGACTCGCAGGAGTGAACTGGTGAACCCCCGTATCCTGCAGGTCAGCACCACTCACCAAGTTTGTAGAGAACGAGTGGAGGTAAAGACCAGACAAGGTGTCAGAGGGGGCAGCCGGACACGGGAGGACAGTGGAGAAGTGAGAGAGGACAGGACCCCCAGAGGGGTCTGCCAGGGAGACTGCAACTCGCCGAACAAGCGGCGTGAGTGTGGTGCGGTCTCGAAAGAAGGAGCGAGAAGCCCTTGAGTAAAGTGTGAAGGTGAGGGAGGCCGAAGCCGACGTGGTACCTAAGAGCGCAGACTCACCAGCATCTGAGGGCGCGGACGCACTGGCACCTAGAGC